ATATATATATATGACACTTGTATGTCATTGTTTTAATAGCTGTGTAAGATTTCATTGTATGAGTATATGTTAATTTACTTAATCTGTCCCTTAGGAACATTTAGAATGTTCTCAGTTTGTGTGTAAGTGTGTACTGTCATAACCAGGGTTCCAGTGAAACATTTTACATACATCTTTTTGACATAAGAAACGTCCAAATCTGTAGAGAATTTTTATAAAAGTTTATTTGAACCAAAACTGACAACAATTGCCCAGTTAGGGATTCATAATCAGACTAGAGGCGTCCGGTGCACGAATTCGTGCATGGGTGGGGTCTGGCTGGCCTGCCCCTATCGGGCAATGGGGCCAGGCCGGTCAGGGGGAGGGGTCGTGGGCGGTTGGCCAGCCAGCCCTGCCCCCTGGTCGAACTCCCAGTCGAGGGGACAATTTGCATATTAGCCTTTTATTATATGGGAGGATAATTTTGTGAGGTTACTTTCCATAGACCCTTTTTTCATCCACCGTCTTTACACATTTTACTATACCTGTAGATAAAATTCCTAGAAATATAATTACTGGACCCAGCAGCTTGTACTTTTAAAATTTTTTTAGATAGTATTAAATTATCCTCCAACTTTGTATCAATTTACATTCATACCAACAGGCTATGAGAGTTTCTAAAACTCAACTTAAATCTAATTGGAAGTAAGTAAGTGTGGCTAGACAGTGATGAGAACAATCTTCAAATGTCTTTAGGTCATGTACCTTACCAGCATTTCCTTTCTTTTGCAAATGTCTGGATTTTGATCATTGGCCATGTGACTGTATCCAGTTGTTGGAAAGAAGAGTAAGCATTTTAAAAGAAAAATTTTCTTCTTGATTGCATTGGTCCCTCAAACCTCTCAATTGTTGACCTAAATGTAAAAGTTTTGATAAATTGATTTCTTGTCACCATAGTCTTTAAATCAGGACAACTTCAGGAGTAAGGAGCATATACAGTTCCCAGATGACTGCTTACATAGAAACTCCTTCCTAGAGTTCTTGTTGAACTCCCCATAGGCAGAGACAGAGAGCTAACAGCTATATTCACAGAGTCATACTGTTTTCAGGGAATGGGGAGGTTAAGATGAATAAATGTCTTATATGACTTAGATTTTCTTTCTGACTAGTTTTTCTTTGTCGTGGGTCACTTATTGGTATTTCTCTTATCCCATTTCTCTGCTTTCAGGGTAGAAGTGATTTGTTTTATTCAGATTTACATTTTGTTTAGTGAACTTAGAACTTACTAGTAGGCTTTCACCGCCCAGAGTAGAGTCAGAGTGTGTTGTGTAGGGTACCTTTGGTGGTACTAT